TAGGCAAACCCAAATCTTTACTGTGGGCTCAGGGAAGAAGTAAAAGAATGTGAAGTTTGGGAGGGACAGCTGTTTATATGCAGAGAAACTTGGGACAAGGTGGGAACAGAAAAGCTGAAGCCAGCAATTATGACAAAGTGTTACAAGGCCAGTGACTACAGAAAGACTCCATAATTTTTTTTAAAAGATTTATTTATTATGCATACAGATTTGGGGTAAGGCCAGAGGTGCAGGGAGTGGTGAGTGGGTCCATCAGAGTGGGGAGCAGAACAGGTAGATTGATGAAGTACACTACTGAAGTCAGGCAAGTCAGAAGTCTGCTGAGCCATGTGGGGCATCTCCCTGGTGCAGAAACTGCAGAGCTTCATAGTGCTGCGATTTAACCTGTTGTGTCACCACTCAACAAACCTATTCTCAGCTTAAGCATAGGAATATGGTGCCACAGGTGTATAACATATCTGCAAACCTAGAAAAGATAAAAGATGAGCTCTGAGATCAAGTGGTGACAGCTTGAACTGAAGAATCAAACCCCATAACATTAACCTTGTGACCCATTCACAAAGATTTATGAATTAAATGAATGCTCCTACCTTTCTGCTAGACTACTTTAGCTGCCATCTTAATGTTGCTGCAAACTTTGACAGTCAAGCACTGGTTCCTGGAACAATAACAACTTCCCTCCCATTGATTCTGCAACCTCGGATTGCCTCATTTTCAAGGCCTTTGGGCCCAGTTGCAGCAGTATGCTTATATGTTGCATGTGGCCGTTTTCTAGTCACCCGGCAGCCATGGGGGCAGAATCCCTGCTAGGGAGAATGTGGACCCTTTGAGGGAGGGATTAAGAGGCCCAGTTTACCTGGAAAGTTCTGCAGTGACAGCTGCTTCCTAGTGCACAGCACACAGAGGAGGATACTGGTGAGGGTGAAGACGATGACCAAGAGGGACAGCACTGGAACCAATTCTGTTTTCCCAGCTGCAGAAGGCACAATCTGCTTGTCCTTAACCTCCAGACTGTGTTCTGCAGTAGAACTGATGGTTTCACTGGAGTAGGTTAGCTTTTCGTCCAAGGAGGGTGTTCCTGCTAGGTTGAGCTGCAGGGTGGATGGCAGGTCAGTCTGGACAGGACTACTGATGTTCACAGGTGCTTTTTCTGTGGACTCAGGAACCTGGACTCTGGTGGGATATAAATGCTTCTGGTGGGCTGTATTCCCAAAGTGAGCAAGTCCACATTCTGGAAGGCAAGGAGTGAGGAATCAGGGCTATGTGGGAACAAGGTAAAGAAGTAGAGGGAAGGGTCAAGGGAAATACTGAAGGCCAGGAGACAAAGGTATGGGCAGAGGGAAAAGAAAAGCGCAAACCACAACAACATGGAACCACATGCCTTTCCGGACCAGGGAGTAGGGGACCTGTGGTCGAACCCTGGCTCTGCCATAAGGTAGCCATGTGGCCTTACCTCTTGTCTCTTAACCCCGCTGGGGTTCCTTCCTTACAGATACATAGTGGGGATAACTTCATTACCAAAGCTGGGGTAGCTGGGAGGGTTGTGTAGTCCAAAGGGCATACCAGTTACACTACAGAAGCCAGGTAAAACATAGAAAAACATTTTGTACTGCAACAATTTAATATTTATTTTAGGAGGAAAGTATTACCAGTGCATCAAATTTATGATTTGGCAGGTTTTACTGCTTAGGACAAGTTGCTTTTGAAGTTTTTCAAAAGTTGCTTGTATACACTTATATTTTATTATGTGTAAATTTTACCTCAAAAGAAAAAAGGAACAACAAAATGTTACTCTTAAACTTGTAATGAGTAGTTACAATAAGCCATAGAACTGTAACACAGTATAGTGAAAATAGATGATCATATACTAATTAAAGTGGTAAGTATTATTATAAAGGCAGTCATATTACAACATAAATGTATCACAGTAGTGCTCTACACCTTAAATTTACATATCTGTCAAATTTATTTGGTTAAAATAAAGATATTGAACTTTAATAATATACATGCTGAAATGTTTGGGGATGAAGTATAGTCATGCCTGCAATTTATGTGGAAATACATCAAAAATAAAGTCGATTGATGATAAGTAGAAGGATTGGTAGACAGATGAGTATGCACTAAAGGAAATCTTGTTAAAATGCTGTGAGCTCACTATTGTAAATACAGACTAGATTATATAAAATATGTAAAATACAAAAATCAAAAATTGTAGGATGTAGATGGTGAGTGTATGAATGTTTGCTCTACAGTTCTCTCAGCTTTTACATTGTATATGTATTTAAATTTCCAATAAAATAATGGGGGGGGACAGTGCTTTGATTAAAAAAAAACAGTAATAATAGCACAGGTGACAGGATGAATTGGCAAAAGTCATGAAACAGATAGTGAAAGATGTTTGTAAACAGGGACTTAAGTGAAAGTACTCTAAATATTCTAGGAAAGTACCTGGAAGGTTCTAGGAAAATGATGTGTCACAAGTAGAAGAGAAAATTGTAAGGTGAAGGCCACTGAGCTTTAAAGACAGCCTGTGGAGGAGGGGAGAACTCTCACCTCCTTTCTCAAAGCAGCTCATTAAGTCCAGTACCCATTGGTCATTCCTGCCCCCACACACACTCCGGTTTTGAGGTGGGGTGCGAGAACGCAACTGGAACCTGAAGAAGAAGGACCGGGTCTCAGCTAAACCTCCCCATCATCACCACCCTCTCCCACCTTTTTCTTCATTCCAAAGACTGAAATCACTTCCAGGAATACTGTTTCTGCTGGGATTGGGAAAGGCCAGGTAGGTGGGGCAGGGAAACAGAGGTGTGGAGAATTAGAATTAAACCCTGATGAAAAGGTTAGGTCTGGGGCCCTCCGTGGTGGCATACTGGTTGAAGCACAATACTATAAAGCTAGGAATCTGGCCGCAGTTGCTTCAGCATGAGTTCAATCCCTAGCCAGGACCTCTCCTATCTGACTCCAGCTCCCCTCAGCAATGAACTTCATCAGTCTGCCTGTTCTGCTCCCCTCTCTGTCTCTGGTGATTCCTCTCACTGCTCCTGCACCTCTTGCCTGTACCCCAGTTCTGTATGCATAAATAAATAAATCTTTAAAAAGAAAAGGCTAGGGGGCCCTCCCTGGTGGCGCAGCGGGTTAAAGCACAGCACT